CAGTAGCATGCAAAGTGGTTGAATCCTATATAAATAGCATAAATAAAAGTATAAAAAGGTTTGTGTGAGAAAATTAATATTGCATAATAATGATATGTCCACAGAAATAATTCAGAAATCCAAAAAGTTATCTTAAGAAGATTGAATTTTACGATGAAAGTTAAATTTTAAAACAAAACTGTGTGAAGCGATTAGTAGAGGTATTCTCATGTTAGTACAGTAAATCTTTCTATAGATATAAAACTGTAACATTTAACAGGTACTGAAAGAAATACACATTACAGATATAACAGTTTATTCAAACTAGGAGGTCTCTTCTCTGCGAATTAACTTAATACAAATAACGACAAACACATTATAATGTAATAAATGCGCAGATTATTCACCAACGATAAATGATGTTGACAAACGCATTAAATGTTTAATATGAAATATTATATACTTAATGACTAGTTTTTATAATTTTCCTTAAATATGCGTTACATACCATATACATACCATGTATATAACTTGATGTAATTTATTAAATTACTAATCATGTAATAGGACAATAATGTTTTAGGTATACCAAAATTAAGTCAACCGCTTTTATATTGAACGCAGGAATTTCTATTACTAGCCCTTCGAGTGTCCGTCAAAAATTCTTTCAAAATCGAATAAAAATAATAAACATATTTTAAAAACTGAGTTCAGAACTAATAACTAAATATTTGGGTATAATAACATGTATGTGTACTTAATAATATATTCCGTTCGTCCGGGGGCCGTTCTGAGTTGAATCATTTTTTATTTTACATGGAAAATATTATTTAACGCATTCGACAGCTGAACAGATGCGTGTGAGGTTTGATTTTTACATTCATTCTAACAGGATAACGTTATATTCATTAACTATGTAATACAAGTATCAACGCGGCAGACTATTACGGCCGCGAAGCAAAAAGTTCAAATCGAGTAGTTTCGCTTAAATTTATTTCATAATTATTTAATAGAAAATAACATTTTTTTTTTTAGTAAAAGTCCTATCGATTAAAAGTTTGTTAAAATAAAGATAATAAATTAGGAAATGATTTTTAATACTTCAAAATTTATTCTAATTATTTACAGTGGCGAATTTGAAAGGGGCAGAAGTTTTTCTACACTCAATGATGATTTTTTGTTCATTTCGTCAATTTTTAATGACAAACTAATAATAATTGTAATAAATATCCAAACATCATGAGCTCAATACTGATACTATGTACTAATAATAATGCTATAACAAAAAAAAAGAGTAAATTTACAAAATATTCACATGAGTCTTTAAGGTTACATGATAGCATTTTCTTTTAAAAAAACGTGTTGCGTTAAATTTATAAAACTTTATAAAGTTTATAGTTTTGTATCTGAATGACTTTTTAATAAAGTTATTAATACAAAATGTTAGGAAGCCAAACAAATACGTAAAAATTAAGAAGCCATATAAAAAGCAAAACATTGAGAAATCATAAAAGTGCATTAAAGTTAGGAAGTCATAAAAAATGTATAAAGATTATGAAACTATAGAATACAATGCTATATACATTTAATAAAAAGAAAATACCACTTTAAATTAAATGAATGAAAATTGATTAATAAGTCATTAACACTATAGTGTAAATATTTGACATGTTTTGTGTTTGATATTTGTAGTCAATAGTATTTTTGATTTTGAAAATTATTTAGATATTCAAAATATATTATTTCGTCGTAGTTAAATATTTACTATAAATGTATGTATGAATGTTAATAATATGATAATGTATACAAGATAGGAAGTACATTTTACACAGTATATAGTATAATTAATAACCAATATGTGTGCGTACAAGTCGTGGAAGGGGTACACCGCAGAAGCCTTGGTAATTAAATACAGAGTCCACCACCGTTGTGGCGGGTCGGTCAGATTGCATCTGTCCATCAATAACAAAATATTCTTGTACGGCCGGCACGCTAGTCATCAGACTAATTGGTCGGGTTGAATAATGGTTGAGGTCTAAAAATAATAATAAAAAAATAAAATCATATTAACATACTCGATACATTTTAAAAGATATTTCGGTACCGAACAAAATATTAAAAATAATGTCTTCGACTAGATACGATTTGTGATCTTTTGACGTATCGTTGAAAGAAATCGGTTCGGTGAGAGCTGAGAAAAAGTGGTAACAAACACACACAAAAAAAAGTAAAATTAAAGTAAAAAACATCTTAGTAAAATTAATACCTTCTCAGCTTCACGTCGAAGCTAAAATACCAAAAAGAATTTTCTTAATATTTTTATTATTTTAAGAGTAATTGAGTAGCTAATATTAAAAGAATCTTTTTGTATAAAACGACTTTATAATTTCTACATAAATATTACAATACGAAATTATTCAATTTCATACCAAATTCAATTACTATAATAAATATTTATTCATGTATTATACTTAGAAATCGTAAAACTTGTTATCAGGATATAAATAAGGAATAGTTCATGTTGTTCTTACAACAATTCAATCATTTCTTCTAAAAATTAAATACTGTCTTAAGGTTTGCATCGAATCGTTTATGATAGTGATTTTAATCACTGTCAGATATTATATATACTTGTCCCAACTGTGTTCGATTTTTTTAAATTGATAAAACGCTTTTAAGGTTGCCTAAACTAAATTTGACGTTACTTTTCCATAAAAATTTAATTATGATATATTATTGTAACTGCATGATGGCTATATACTACCTACCAGAAAACTTCATAAAGATTATATTTTACAAATAATTCGTTCAGTTGCAAAAGAACGTTAACGCAAGAGAGGCAGTTACTTCCTCCCTAATTTTTAGCTAGATCATAATCGTTATAAAAATTTTTTTTTTATTGAATCACATTATGAATACCTAAGTCAAAAGAACATAGTTTTTTTATAGATTAATAATATGTAGACTTGGTTTTTAGTCATTACATTTATAGAGACCATTAATTTTATAATTAATACATAAAACTACCAACAAATCTTTTATTTATTATTTTTTTTTCTTTTTTAGGGATAATTGTATTTTCTCCATGCCCTAAAAACCCTTTAAAATGTGACCCTGAGGCAATCGAGGGGATACAGTTTGATGTTCTGTTATGGTAGTCTATATTTGTACGCTAATTAAAGTACCAGTATAGGTATACCGCAGATTGGAAAACCAGTGTTTAGCCTTAATTATAAAACAAGATACTGACATCCTATTGAATTTATAATATATTGTATACTCACCCCTTAAATATTTTTCATTGAATATACCTACTGATTTGGGCTATACAGGGTCAATACATGTAACTATTGTGTACAGTTTAATAATACTACACACAAATATATGGCATTTTACGAAAAACCGAAAATCATAGCCCGTGGCCCAGAATGTGTAGTACTTTTTATTGTCCTAATCTGGATTAAAAACATAAAAGAGAATTAAAGCGATAGACTCGAGATTCGATTATTTTTTATAGTGTGTGTATACATATAATAACACACGCATAACTGAAATACTGCACTGTGTGTGAAGATTGTGAAGGATAAAAAAAAAGAAAACAATCTTTTTATGACTCCCACCCATCTAGATCAGAAAAACTGGTTCGGTACTGTACTACAACAGGAATACTAATATATTTTCCGAGAGGGTCTTATGTCTGCCACCGATAAAAAACACAACTACCTCGTACATTAATAATAACAATAATAAAACCTGTGACCTCTATGCGGGATTTAAGGATTAATTATTTAAATACTGACACATTCTCGTAGTACTTTGCATATTTTAATGTTAACTAATACAAGAGTCGAGAAAGATTTATTAAACTCTAAAGACTATGACATTCGATTTTGTATTAATGCTAATTTAAGAATTAGGATGTACTACATTGACTGAACCGAAAGTATATGTTCAGATATCATGTATTAACTCATAAAAATGACATTATTTTGAAAATTATTTATTGTTTTACAAAATATTATATATTTTATTTAGCATAAATACGAGTAATATTAACTTTCTAATATATATAAATATCATTAATAGTAATTACAAAAAAAACTATCAAATGAAAAAACACTTGAATAAACTCCGTTAAATAGAACACGGAATTATTATGGAACACTTTTGATTGAATAAAATAAATACAAAAATATTACATTGCTTTTTCATCACATATAAAAAACATAATTTTAAATATTTTTATTAGCAAAAAAAAAAAACCTTAATATATAACAGTCTATTAACGATGTTCACAATTTCATATAGAAATAATAATAATACTTTTAATACATTTATAAAGTAGGTAAAAGTCATGAAATATTGAAAAAAAAAATTACAAATATAAATTATTATTTTACATATTACATTGTATATTACGTTAACTTATTGTAATAGTAAGTCGTTGGACACTAAAAAAAAAAGTAGCATGTATAGTGATTTGATTTTTACCATGTTAATAAATACAATATTGAGATCACTAAACAAAAATATCATGTTTATGGCTTTAGATATTACAAATTGAAAAAAGAAACTGGCAAAATGCATATTTAGATGCATGGGCTTTTGAGCAAAATTACATTTTTTTTTTAAATTTATTGATTCCTTTAAAACGTTCAAATAGTGATTAAATTAAATTTAAACATTAAGTTCAGTTCGATGAAATTTCATCAGTCAAGTAAATAATAATATAAACATTATAATAAAAAAAAAAAAAATTAATAATAATAATATATATCTTATATTATTATTAGATTTTATAAATTTACAACTATGAGTTAAAGTAAATATATTAACTGAACGAGGTCGTCTGTTTACATAATTTCATTAGAAAATATCAACAAATGATTTTATAAACAGGCACAATGGTTATAAATGATAAAAAATGTCACGAGCTTTTTAAGATCTGATACCAAAGTAGACAATTGATAAATTGTAAATGCTTTGCTGGTACTATGATGAATATTATAAAAATGTACATATTTTATATATTTACAGTTCAGTCGCTTTTCATTCGACAACTTGGCAACGGCGAACTTAAATAACGTTTCGTGGCAAAAACAATTAATGAACTATGACAAAACTATTTTTTAACACAAAAAACATATGATAATTATATTTTTATTGTGAAAAATCGACGTCCATATCAGTCAGTCGTTTGAGTGCTCGATATCCAAGTCGAACGAACGGCATTTAACTCATAAGTTCATCAATGCTGAATCCTTTGCGTTTTGGTGGCTGTGCTTTATTTTGTGGCGGCACGGCGGGTTGGACTGGTTGGTATTGCGGTTGATACGCTGGCGGTGGCACGGCCGACGGGAGCAAAGGCTCGTGTAGATCTTTCCTGACTTGCAGCAGTGCGTGACTCGACTCGAACTGGCTAGACGTGGGCCGCATTGTGTACGCCGAAGATTCATCATGACACTTCGTCTCGTGCACGCCACGGTGTTGGAACAGCGATATCAGCCCGTCTTTACTATCGATTTCTTCCTGAGTGGGTTCTGCAGTGTTGGTCGAATTGGCGACAGCCGTCTCGCCAACGTCTTCGTCTTCATCAACGTCCACTTCCTCGTCTTCGTCCTCGTCATCGCATTCTGGATTCTGCACCAACATGGAGCACAATTCGTCATCGTCTTCATCTTCATCGTCCTCGTCATCGTGAGCCCGTTGACCACCGGCAGAAGGTGTAGACGTCGTGGACGACGACGAAGGCACCGGGGTAGGAGGCGCGTCTCCAACCGCGTGGGTCAACGTGTGTCGGCGCAAGTCACAATTGCGCCGGAAAACTTTATTACACGAGTAGCATTCGTAAGGCTTGTGGTCGGTATGCGTTAGTAGGTGAGTCTTTAAGTTGCTTCGCTGATTGAAACTACGCTTACAAACGGGACATTTGTGAGGCGACTCTTCTAAATGAAGTATTTTATGTACGGCAAGAGTACGAGACTGACAGAATCCTTTGCCGCACTCTGTACATTTGAACGGCTTTTCCTTCGAATGAATGTACCTGAAAAAATATGTTTATCGGTTAGTTAACTTAATAATTCAATTTTTATTTGGGTTTGACGAAAATAATATTATTATTGTTATCGTTGTATCAGTTCATAAACATCTTTTTTACGCGTCAACCGAGATGCTCCCGCGTACCGTATCCTTTTGTATGAAAGAATTAATAGGTCATAAAAAAACCCGTAGAATAAGTCACGTTCCCTTTGCCGAAACAAAACTGATGTATATCAACAATACTGAAAGAGCCTCGCTCCTTCAGACTTATATATCTTTTTCAGTCCATAGTACAACGTGACATACCAACAGTATGGGGATATATTGTACTGAAAACACGGTTAAATTAGTGTCTCATTTAGTCACGACTTCATGGCCGTCTAGACCATAGGTTTAAGGGTAGGGGGGATCAGAGGTGTTGGTGGCGAGGTAACAAGAGGGCAACCACGACAATGGACAACAATAACAATCACTGCTGCAGCGGAGGAGGCGGCGGTCGTCGGTAGCAAATGCTAGGGCGGAATAGTGGGTGTAAAAGTAGCGTATAAGCCACCTGTCCCGACGGCAGCAGCGCGTAGGTATATATTATAATATATGTATTACAGGTAGTAGTCATTGCACGTCGAGTACAAGGGAAAACACAACGAAGCTACCCACTTCTTCAATGTCAATCAACAGTGTACGACCCCTAAAAGCCAACGGTGTTAATACTATTGTTATCACAATAACGAAGCGAAACGACTACCGGCTTTTTCTATAAATAAGCATATTATTACACGTACATAAAAATAGTTTTTCATTACTGTTCTTCATTATCAATTATAAAATTGTTTGTAATACTTTGAGTTTAAGCTATAAATTAATTTCAGAGTATACACGCACCGTTAAAATGGTGCATAAACCACAGCGCTATTTTGTTTTAATAAAAAAAAACAAGGGGCTAAGTCTAATCAACATAAATTACTAATCCTCCGTAATGTCGATTGAATTAAATATGTAAAAGAAAAGCGAAAATAATAAACGTCAGCCGACGTTATTATGTACGCGTCGGTATTCAATATAATAATGATGAACGTTTCATGGTCACTATGAGTCTATGTGTATACCCTGCCCAGTATACACTCACTGGAATCCTTTTAATCCTCAAACATAGTATATCTCTCTCTCTCTCCCCGGTGGTTCGAATATTCAATTTATCTTGTCCGGTGTCAGTATGCTGTTCTTCCACTCTACCGTTTGTTTGCGGCTACACGGGCAGCCAGCGTCGCCGCCGTACACCGTATGTGTACGTGTGTTGCACATATACACCAACCTCATTCTGTCCAACAGAGACCAGGTCCAAAAGACTCGACGCGGCGTTGCCAACTCTTTGTGCAGTCGCTTCTGGACAGACCGGTTATGTTGCGCGCTGGGCAACAACCTAGAGTCGGTCGGGTCTCTAGAATAGTAGTACCTATAATCCGTACACGCATTGACGCATATTTTATATATGATAATAGGATCACGATAATAATGATAATAATAATGCCATCATACAATCGAAAACGTACTGGAAATATTCGGTTTTCATGTGCACTACCCTTTGTCCCACGGCATGGAAATACATCATACTACACATAGAAAATAAATTCAAACCCCACGCTGCGTCAAATATATCATAAAAATGCATACGTTATTTTGTAATCCGATAAATAACACGAATTTTTTACAGTGAGACTTTAACGCGGGTAAGCGTAAGACATTATTCTTATCGGTGAAGGCGAAGCACCACAATTAATCCTGATTTTCATGTTCTATTTAGAGTCCTCACAAGGCAGGATTAGTAAAAACTTGTTCCAAATTTGTACATTGACATTTAATTTGAATAAAATATTAGAAATGATCGTTTATTATGCATTTAAAAATAACACTAGCTTCTTGAAGATAAAATCAAACGAAGAAATCCGTCGTATTTTATCATAAAAAAAACATTAATTTATAGACGCATGGTGTAATGTAATACTACCGTAAAGTTGTTGAGTGCAGAGGACTAAAGTGAATGAAAGTCAAAGAAAAATATCTAAATATAAAAAATTTAATATAAATATTAAAGTAGACTAAAAATGGGATTTTAAAGTTTTTAAATATAATGTAATCCGAAGATTTTTTTTAATTATCAGTTTGCTATTATATTCGAACAATATAAAACATTTGCATAATACATACTAAAATAAAATTATACATGGACGATTGATACTTGATTAGAATTTGAAATTTAAATAAAACGTGACTTTAAAAAACCTTTCAATGCGATTACTATTATCATATCAACACGAAGTATAAAACTAATATAAAACGATTTGCACTAAGAACTGAGCGTCAAGACGATTACTGAAAGAGTATTTTAGTTTTATGATCAATAACTATTATTTTTACGTTTAGCACCGGATGTGCAATTCATTAATAAAAATATGAAAAAAAAAAAAACTTGATAAACCGTCATTTAAATACACACCTAAGATATTTTAAGCATAAAACGCGGAAACCAGTTTGATTTTTAATCCTATCCGAATATGCTGATTATAATTAACGACTTCGCGGTTATTTTGCAACGCAAAACTGCCACACGTAAAAGTTCAATGAGTGCGTTTTGATGTGTTCATTATTCATAATTTTTTTTTTCAGCCGGTTAAATTTACTATTTGTAATGCATAAAATATTATAAAAAAAAAAAAACATCACGTCGGTGGGAGAGATCATGCGGTTGTATACACACACACGGGAACCGGTTACCGGTTGTACTCTCGGACTTACGTATAAAAGAAGACCGCAGACGGAGGTAAAAAATGTATATAAAAACTATTAGTGAAAATACATTATATTATTACGACGGAAAGGAGGCATTAAGATTTGAGGTTGGCCGTGGAATATTATATGTATAGAATATTTAATATTTGAACAATCTAAAAGCAGCGTTGAAGAGACCTTTTTATTTCGAGCAAACATACACACCGTATTCAAGATCGTGATGCGTCGGTTCCATCAGAATAGACGGACTGTTCCAACACACACTACCATTATAATTGTATTGTAACGTTAAAGTTTAACTGGGCGTATCACAACAACTTCCCATCCACAATGATTGCATTCAACTTGGTCGCGCATAGATTAAATGGCACAAAATAAAATGGCATCAAAAAGATGATGTATTCATTTTCTATCTGACATGTGCGCACGTCTCCTCTGCGTTGGCTTTTTAGCCATTCATACGTCGCCGCATCGCCAACGATACCCCGGCGTACAAACGGATACCCGAACATAATAGCATTCGGTAGCGTGAAAGGACGGACAGCAATGACTAGAGAGGTAAAATAAAAGAACGGTTCTACGAATTTATCAGAAACAATAACCCACGGTATAATTATCGACATGGACCTCTGCACGATGACGATAACGGTGCGGCGGTAGCCCGGGCGTTACCGAACAGTACCGCACCAAAACAATGGACGGTGGTACCTCCTACGCCGTAGCCCGAAGAGTTGTAACACCGTGTCCCCCACGCGCCCCACGACGACTAACCGGAAGGTCGACGGGTGAAAATTTTGCGCGAGAGCCTGCGCCGCTCGCACGTTCACGTCACTCTCTTCAACCGGCCCGCGTCTCATTATTCTAATATAAAATCTATCCAAGTCAAAAATTATTGTTATTATTAATGGGTCCGAAGCCGGTTCTTAGGGTTTGTAGGAGGCCGTGACATCCTGTTTGAATACATTATATCGTGTACGTACCACTGTAGACCAAAGCTCGTCAGTATAAATCATAATCTACACGCGCACATACACACCACATTACATAGGTAGGTGATAAAGCGTACCGCGGTACAGTACAGTTTGCTGGCGTGCCGGTCATTAATCAAATCGGACGCGTCCGTTCAAAAGGAGTTTTAATTATTGTTGTCGCACCACAGCGCACTACGAGGCAAATGTCTCGTCCGATTGTTTTGGATTTAAATAATTATAAATGATACAGACCGAATAATAGTCGGACACGAACGAATAAATACTTTATAAATTACTTTGTAAATACTTTTACAACAAAGAGTTCTACACGCGGCTATGGGGCATTTTTTAACGTACTCGATTCGCAGCGAACATTATGTCGGTGCAGTTGGTCAAAATCCTCTGGGTATTCTACGCCTCACGCGGTCTGTCCGGTCACACAGACGAGTCTTGCCGAAGTAAATTTGGGTGCTATCAAAAACCGAGTCTATCGAACGGACGGTCGTCGCCACATGCTGATAGAGACACTTCGACAAAAAGGAAGAAGGAAAAAATACGAGTGTATGCTGCCACAGAGTAACAGGGTGGAGTATTACTCTATGGTGTGTGCACGCAGCGATGTTACCAACGTTCGTGTGTGCCACAAACATGTCCTGCTGTCATTGGGAACATAAATAAATACTATTGTTATTGACGCGGGTCCGGGTCAAATGCTTCTGTCAAAACCTTTGTAGATTTTTCGTTGGAAAAAACGCCTAAAATGTCTATTGAAAAACTACTTCATCACGTCGGCGATGACCGACAGCATTGGTATTGGTGAGCGCGCACTGGCCGGACAGTATTATGTATGCCCTTTATACAATACGCCTATTTTGATAAGACTCGTTTACCCGTTGCACGTTTTCTACATAACGCGTGGGTAATTCAATAAAATGTTTTAAAATTACCAAAAACATCAGTTGTAAAATGTCATACAACTAGGTTGAGGTACACTGTTGTTTTTTAGACAGGCAATGCTGGTTTGGACACCACTGCTCGCCAATACACTGTGTCGTCGGCGATAATAACCGTTGCCAGGGTCGATAAAAAAAAAAGATTGCATTAATAGCAAAACACTTTATTATTTATTTAACTTAAAGGGGATCGGAGCAGCCGCAATAATGTTCGCCGCAGCATACATACGTCAAAAGGCATACGGACGCCGCAGCACGATCGTTGACCACAAACACGGTATCGTGTTCACCGGTTTCGCTCTTGAGAGTATTTTCATCGTTTGCGATTATTGGTTTGTAAGCATGACGGGGCACACATACGCACACTCATGTGTCACCACGTCACGACGCACGAGAACAAGCACGAGACGGGTATGCAAAGATAAAATGAACATTATAAAGAAACGTGAGCCGCTTGAAATCGTTCTACGTCTCGCTCAGGTCAGCCGTATTAAAAAGTGTAGCCGGCTCAAGTGTACGCTTGTGCGTTTTCGTGCACAAGGTCCGAAACGCACGCAACTGAGAGGAGAGCCTCACGAAATGGCTGCCGTGCGCACAGAAGTTTTATCACGTTTTCATGATTTCAGATACGGCGTAACGTAAAAGCGTCGAGTGGTAGTAGTTGAGTCGGGCCCAGAGAATAAAAAAATACCGGAGCAACGTTTCTCCAACACACAACTGATGAACAATACTACAACGTGCAAGCACGGCAACCACAAATTAGAAACGCTGATGTAATAATATCGATCGTCTAAGTAGTACTACTGTTATCGATCAATATCTATAAATAATAAGTCGTTGGAGAGATAACTACAGGAACATGGAAGCTTTGAGACGCATCGTTAGTATTTAATTCCCTGTAAAGTATCTGTTTTTGGAAACTCGTGGACATAATGATTTATGGAATAAACCAACGAGTCTCGTAAGAGGTGAATCTTCGGAATATTTCGATAAATTCTTTCTGGTCCATCGACGAGAAAAACTGGCTACGAATATTGTTTATGCAATTCCACGGGATCGAAAAAGAGCTTCTTTTTAAACTATGCACATATTTAAAAAATTCAATATATTGCTTTACTAACGGATGATAATATATCATACTCAGTCGGCGTTCACTAACGAGATAGAAACTTAATTAACGTTTTATTTAAAACGGGTGCCAATTTCGGTAGTAAGTAGATATATAAATTATGTATAAAATTGGCACATGTTAAAGGAACTACGAAAATTTATCACCGACCGGTATCTTAAAGAATGTAAGCAAAGTCGCCATCATATTAACAGAGTATTTATCAATTTTATTACGTATAAATGTACATTAACCTCGTGTCGACAATATTTTTTCAATCTTTTCTATTGAGTACCTTTAAAAGTTAATATATTACAATTATATTGCACACAACGTCCGTTACGGTGAGTTAGTGCAAAATTAATAATAAAAAAAAAAAAACCCCGTAATTTAATTAATTAAAATTCGGGTTTGCGATATATTTAAAGCACGAGCAAAAAAGTGTACAAAAATTACTATAATTTAATCTGAAGAGATTAAAAAAATAATCGCTACGGTGAACGCGTATAAAGAAATTACAAAAAAAAAAAAATCAAACGAGTAAAAATTGTGGAGATGAGGCCACGAAGGAGTGTCGCATCAGCATGGGGTCCACTCTTATAGTATACCAGTGAATCCGAGGCGAACGTGGTGCACAACAGAAATGCCGCTGCGGTTGTCGTCGTAAATTAATATTACCATAATTATGTATATTATTATAAACGGATACACCGTAAGCTCTACACAACACATAAAATATACACGACTAGTGTATTTCAGCTATATATCCGTCGGTTGGGTTAAGTTGAAAAAAATAAAACGTACAGTGAAAATAATAAAAAATCATCATAAAAATAATAATAATTCCGAAATTATTTAGACGGCGTGTCAGGTTGAACGCACCGAGACGGTAATGTGCAATCGATAATAATGAAATTAGTAACACTTTCCAAGGCGTCCGTTTCACTTTGTCTTTGAGCAACACATTGTCTACTTCCAACGACAGCACATACGGCGGAGAAAAATCGCCTCGCACAATTGGCGTCTGTTATTTTACGAACCAATGCGTCTCTCGTTTGCCTCTCGGATTATGCATTCCGTCACTTGTAAAACCAGATCATCGACTACTCTCCGCGTCACCATCACCGACCACAGTAAATGACTTAACCTCTGCGGGTCATGCTCGCCTGAAACTCATTAGACTAAAGCGTTCAAATTTACACCTGACGTCTCCGTCCGTTTTCGCATCGCGCACGTCTGGGTCATCTAATTAAAATCAGAGGAAATTGTGTGAACTCTGTCTCGTCACGGAATAACGGTCCGACGTTTGACAGGCGGCAAGCCTAACGATTAAACTCGTGTTTTTAATGCGGGTAAAAAAAAAAAAAAAAAAAAGTTTCAAAACGATAGCCATGCGATCGGTTAAAAACACGTGACAGCGACTAAAATATAATAACCGTGAGTGTAATTAGTCATTTGAAATGCACTCAACTCGGCGCGCACGACAACATCATCAGCAAGTTAATGACGGCGTAAACTCATTAACAACACTAGAACGATTTTAAAATGGCATTTTTTTTTTTATTTTTATTATCACTTATGCGACGAGCTTAGCATAAACTCGGTTAAACACATTATAATGTCCTCAGTAAAAAAAAATAACACTGTAACTCCTACAATCTACGATAATTACACTATAGGGACAGATATTTGCGTTCAACGCGCAAAAACAAAAGGAAAAAAATTTATAATTTTTTTCGCTTCGCGGTGGTCGTTGATTTTGCCCTTGGCACATACACGCGTTAAAAAACTATGGCTATGGGTATATTCTAAAACGAATCGTACAAAAGCACATCACGCTCGTTGTTTCGAGAAACCACATGCCGTCAAATTATGACTAATAACAATAACAATAAAACATCGTACGTAGGTAAGAACTTTTCTTAGACAATAAACATATTGTGTTATTAAAAAATGTTGGCCGATTGTTTTCAACGGGCCCGTTGAACCATCGTTGTCCCAGAAATTCGTTAATGAAAGTCGTACTACCATTGAATTCAAGTACACAAAAACATTAGAAAAACTCTAAATGGTAGCAGATAATTTGATAGCACCATAAATGTCAATAACAGTTGTTTTACTTACTTGTGGTCGCGTAAATGATCCTGCCGCCTAAAAGCTTTTTTGCATATGTCGCAGGAATAAGGTCTCTCGTCGGTATGCGTTCGCTCGTGAATTAGTAGATTATAGCTCTTGGTAAACTGACGATTACAAAAACGGCAAATGAATTGTTTTTTGGGTCTGGAAGCTCGACCTATGCCCGTACCCACGGCCGCCGTTCTGGGTCTCGAAGCTGGGTTCACACCACCATAAGCAGTTGGTCCTGCGCCCGGACCCGCAAATAGAGATTGTGGTTGTCCTCCGTATTGAGGATTCAACAAAAACGGATGAGGAGGATATCCACGTTGATGCATCACGGCTTGCAGGACTTTGTTCTTGTCCAGTGCCATTGCCATAAGTTCGTTTTGTTGGTGCAAAAGCGACGTTGACGGTTTGTGTTTGGGCACAAACATTCCGGGTGCAGACTGTTGTTGTTGCTGCTGTTGTTGGATTGATATATGGTGCTGCAATGCTTTATGTTTATCGGCCATCATTGATGCGGCGAAAAAATCCGAAGACGGCGACGGCAGAGCCGGTATAGATGGATGTCCATAAAACGAACCGCTGGACGGCATGACGGGCACAAACGCCGAACCCACACCAGGCTTCACGCCTTCGCCACCGACAGAGACAGACTTTCCACTAGCACCGCTTCCGCTCGACATATTGCTAAATCACCTATAAACATGATCAAATATTGAAGACAAAAAATAAAATTCGATAAGCACATCAACAAAACAGTAATTAAAATCATTTCACTTTAAGTAGGCGATGGTTTCTGTAGGAGGTAAATAATGAAGAATGTTAATAGTGGTCCAAGCTCACTTAGTAACAATATACTGTAATTATAAACTTTACACATATTTCCTCGACTATATAGTAAGATTAATATGAGAACATGAGAATTTGATTTTTTATTTTAATTTTAACAGAAATAAGGACGACTAGCACACTCCGCACTCCTCCAATCCGCCTATAATTTGATTAAATTTTAATCGATCCAATATTTTTTCCTGTTTTAGATGAAACAAAAATTGAAAATAGTTATTTTTGATGGCTAATCACGATTATTGTCTTCAAGTTACTTAGATATTTTAATTGATAGTGAAATTGTTCTATAATGATTTAACTTTAATGTGGTAACCAACTGTAGCTTGCCACATATTGAAATTAAAATTATATATGAGAAAAAAAAATGTCAGTCATTAATATTAAATATGAAAAATTAATCAGTTAAAAGTAAGTTTAAAAACATGCCAAGCACGAAAATACAATTTAACAAATGGAAATTTTAAGAGCCATAGGAACCAGACACCTGTTACTTGTTTCACAACTGTTATTATAATTGTCGGGCAGCATATCGTGTTAAAATTATTTAGTTTAAACAAAAAAACCTATAAATATATTAATAAGTTAATTGTGTAACAACACTAGCGTTTCTATCTACATTTATAATAATATATAATGCAATTATAATGATTGAAAATTATTTAGATGTAACAAAATAAGTGCAATGTCAGTGATAAATTTATACCAAAGAAAGTTAGTAATACTCCCAATTAAAATGATATCTATGATGTTGAACATGTATGAATACAATGAATAGAAGATGACAAAGTAAAATGAAATGCATTATATGAGCCTATAATAGAATAATGTAGTCAATGCAAAGGCATATATCGTTACGGATAATGCTTAGTATATTTGTCACGTTAGAGAAACTAGAGGGGCTAAAAGGATAAAAAGGGCACAACAGGGAAACGATGCACTTGTGTACACACAACTACAGAAGGGATATGACTATACACAATTGGCCATTGTCAAGCTTAAGACAGCATTGGGCTATTGCACGTAAAGGATTTTCAACGTTTTGTACTCCGATAATATGTAAGGTGTATTATTGTAATGTCGTTATTGAATGTCATAAACAGTTACATCATTCTCAAACGAAAAGTTTCCAAAACAGAAATAAAGTCAGCTACCAATATAACTACCTGAAACTAAATGGTAGTTAATGGGAATTTTACATAAAAGGTTTATCCAGCACATAATTATTGACAACCGTTGCTGATAAAAACGCGACGTCTGTTTACTGCGTTCTCGAAATGATATCACCACAATAACAATAATTTACAAGAAACAGTCATATAAGCCTAGTTATTACTGTCTTAACATAACAACACGACCGATTACAATATAACAGTAAACCGAACATATTGCATTACAATAAAGACATAATAATACGCATAAAGATTTTTTTGATTTTTTCCTTCAAGGTCTCCGACCGACTCGTTCCAATACCTGACAACTGTTACGCATGTTTGGCCATAAATTAATAACTTAGATTTACACACTAATAAATTAATAAACGGAAAATGATGATTCAGATAATACGAGTTATTTAAAAAGTGGTATCAAAACAGGTAGCGATGCAGCGTGTTGGCAGGCAAAGAACAAAGACATAGCACTTTGCTACTACCTTACTTTAACTTTCTTAAACCAACGCACAATGCTCAAACTTATATAACAGACAATAGAATTTGTTTTACATAATAATAAAATTGTACTCTACATTAGTTTCACTATTTTTAGTTCACATAAAAACTTAATATAATCAACCAAATATTTAATGACAGCTTACCAAGGGATTCAACCACGACGCTTAGCAGTTCTGCCGGTGAAAATTTGCACAAACAGATAGTAATAGCACTTATGGTTCACACTTAAGTCATATTAGGTATTCGACGCGATTCCGACCGCATACACGCGATTAAACGTACACGCCGAACTCGATGGGTACGTTAGAGAATTCCTGGACAAGAATGTTGACACTGCACAATAATATTCATACGCACACAACAAAACCGAGCGCGCTCTCAACGGTCAGACAACTCGAACAGTAAAAACAGGTATCACTCAGCCTCTGAATCTGGTCGACCGGCCGGCCAACCGTTTGGCATACGGGGGTGGGTGGGGATGACGACGATCGGCCGAGTGGGAGTCATCGGTGTCGGTGCCCTTCGTCGGTAGATGGTAGCGCGGTCTATTGCCGGTTTCGGGTACTAGTACTACCGTACCTGACTCGAGCTACCTGTACGTGCCACCTGCGGCCACGGACGACAGAGATGAAAAAAAAAACACTGAGAAAAATACATGTACAATAATAGTGTGTTATACGGAAACCCGTGCACCGTCGGCCATAACTCGATAGACGTGGTCGGGTAGTGTTTCAAGTATTAAGTGGTAGGAGATGTTTAGCCGACGGAGGCACGATGCCTATGTTGTATATATGCACAGCCTGTGCGTGCGTGTAACAATAACAAACCGTGTGACGCCGCCGCCGCCAATGAGTTCGTAAAAATAACTACTAGGTAGACGAGTAATATCTAACCAGTGCAGTAAATCTCGACTATTTTATTGGTTTCCATTTACTGTGACATTACTTGAGGGTCGTTAGCAAAAAGGTCGATAACATTGACCACAACAACTACAATATTCGCAAATCTTCCACTGAATATTGTGTTAAAACAAAATACACGATACTGTCCATGGAAAAAACCAGACTGACATTTTGTTCTCTGATCAAGTTATGTCACTTATTGCACTATTATTATGACTTGTACACAATTGCCGAGAGAAGAAGAGTTATATGATATATCACAAATTAAGGATATGAGGCGGGTACGAAAAAAGAGACCCCACAATATACCTGCTGCTTTTAATTGGGCAATTCTATTATTTCAATTTGATCCTTACCAGTAGTTATATTTGGTTAATGATACCCAAATTATTAAATATAATTACTATTAGTACACATTTATCATGCGTCACCGCCTGATAATGTGAAGGTTGTAATCAGTAGTTTTATTAATTTCATTGCTTTTTTTTTTCTCAACAGATCCAAACACGTTTGATATTGTAACGAGGTCTTCATTTATTAAATAGATCCGTTTCTAATGTGTACATTCATTATTTACTGTACAATATATTTTTAATTAAATTTATAATTTTCTGTATCAGTATAAAAAAGACACATCTAGCAGAACATGAATTTCGATTTTAATTAATGGTAGACAATTTCAAGACGAAAAATGTCAATAGTTCATAGTTATTTCGATTAATTTTTATGTAATGATAATATTATGAATTCAATCATCAATTAGTAATCTATCTAATTTGACATTAATGTCAACTACCAGAGTCTCGTGATCATTCATACGAGTATTACTAATTTATTGATACTAATAAGTTCTAAAAATAAATTGGTTTATAACTAAACGAAATGAAATGAAATCTAAATGAATTTTAAAACAGTTAAGAGTGTTTAAGACTATACTAAAATTCATTAACGGCAACCACCTAATAAATTTTTTTTACATTAAAAATTGAAGAAAAGTACCAACATTGTTTCTTGTTTTATTGTTTTTACTGAGTATTGCTTTCCGTAATCATTTTGCTATTAACATGCTGTGTTAATAGCTGTGTTTTGAGTTCGATACCGTTTCAAATTTATGAGAAGAACTGTTAAGTTTTTGTACACAAATATTTATAGTTTTGCTAATATTTACCTAAAAATAAAACTATGACACGATAGACACAAAAGGTCTTATGCCATAAAACTCTTGTGCGGTTACCTCAAAGAGATAACTGTTCACACCATAAATCATTATTGCGTAAAACTCCTCTATTTGATGGGTAGAACGTATTTTTTCTTTATGTGTACGGTATTTGTATTTTTTTCCTCGTCGTACATGACAATTTTCCGTGAGACCCGTTGACGAGGCTACCGTTATGTGATACGCCTTTGTACGCGTATTTTGTAAACGAAATGTGCGCAACATAATTTACCTGCCATGTTTTATATTGATATTGCGTGTAAAATTTTACACTGTCGGTTGTCGACCATTGATTGATAATAAACACTACACGAATAAAAATATGGAAAATAAGCAGCGTTAAATATTTTACATAGGTTCATAAAAGCAATGGCTATAATGTTTTACATCATTTCAGAATTTTATATTAATACTGAATTTGAAACCCAACAAACCATACAACACAATTTTGCAGTGAATATGTAATGTATACCCCCTACACTATAGTATAGTGTATTTTTACAGTAATCATGCATTACACGCTAATTTAAAATGTTGATAGTAAACTTTATTGTTGTGATTTTAATAAATATTTATTAGTAATACTTAATTTGTAAGGATATCAACAGTGTATAGGGAAAAGAAGGCCCACAGTGATTTTTACTTGAAGTGCCCTCGATAGCCTATTTTTTTTGCTTATCAAAACATTTTTACTCAGCATCGCTAATCGCCAAAATATTGACGAGCAAAAAAAAAAAGGTCATTAAACAAATTTTTCACTCTGCGTCGATATTTAGGCAAATTAAAAAATAGAATTATATGCACGACTAAAAATTCATACGTCGCTATCATTTACGGAAAGGATCTAAATTAGAATTATCTATAAAATTAATAAAACGGCTATGTTTAGATAAAACATTTAATTTTAAACATTAAATAATAACGTTAAATATCAAAATAGTTTATTTAACCTGCACATTAAACAAACTAATACCTTAATATTAAAAACATAACATGTGTTGTAATTAGTTATGGCCTTTTGTCCGGTTAAAATTTTTGACAATCGTCTCAAATTGTCATATGCTAAACCTAAGGGTTTTGACTATAAATAAACTGTTAATTGTCTATTAACAGTTCATAATATTAATTAAAATTTTAAACTGAAATCTTTTAAATAAACAAGTAATACAATATTTTATACTCTACAAAAAACATAAGCAGTTTCCTTAATACATTTATTTCTCTGATAAGATGTTCAATATACTTTCATACTTATAAGCTGTAATTGTTGAACAAATTCAACATATTAATATTATATTCCGACTCGACTTATTTGAGGAGGTATCATGTGAAATATTTTCTATGTTACAAACTAACGTGAGTATTGTCAATATTTATTAATCTTGAAAGAAAAATGTCCAAAAACATTTAAAATCAATAAAGAAACTTTTTTGTATATTTAATCACTATTCAAATTATATTATTTTTATTAAATAAAGGTTTGGGTTAAACTAAAATTAAACTTATGACTATTGAATTCTAAAAAAAATTTCCTTTTGAATAAGTAGTACTGATTTCTTGACACTATTTAAACATAAAAACAATTTAGGACAGCAAATAATTTTGTAAATTATAATTTCAACCTAAATAGGTTACTGAAAAGCGTATTCTTAAAACTTCTATCTGCTTTGAGGCATATGTTTAGTTGCTATATCAGATAATTAGCCGATAAGTGCATTTTGCATAGCTTATTTTATTTTTTAATTGAACTTATGTAGTTATTATTTCCATTAAGTGTCTGTAAAGACCGGGAAAAGCTTAGTGAACATTAATTTATAGAAGTTTGCATTATAAAACTAAATGATTATGCATTGTTCAACTAATGTTAAACAATAAATAATTTAATTAAAACGTAAAATGGTAGCAAAAAGTCAACCAGCCGTAACTTTACACACGAAGCGAATCGCATTCTACACGTTTTAATTATTTTAACTACTCATGTACAATTAGATATTTGCGATCTTAGGAAGCTATTTTCTTTATGAGAATTCAGTATTTACACTATAGGTATTATTCGCTGGCAAAACAAGTAGGACTTTTTCATTGATGTTTCCATGTACTTCTCTTGTTCGCTGTCGTCACACTTTGATTTATAACTCCAAATCAAGTTGTTTATATTCTTCTTCTACAGACCACCGTTTTTTCTTTCTTTAATTGAATATGAAGACGAGACAATGGACTACGCCCGTGTTTTCCTTTGGCTATCGATGCACAGTCACTGAATATTATTATAACTATCATTATTGTTAGTCTTGAGTCTTTTGTTTTGATATTTTTTATAATTTTTTCTCTTTGGCTCAGCAGGAGATTATTTTTTCGGTATTCCCTGTCGCTGGGACAAATACGTCTCTCTCTTAACTTTGTCTCTGGCCCGAGACTTGAAAAAAAAAAATGTGCACATAGACACAAATCGCATTGTGTGCAAAATCTCTCCGAGTAAAAAAAATTGTTTTTCTTTAGAACAATCGAGTTTTGGTTTACGCGAAACCTACATAGTCGGTGTCTTAACTATGCACAAATACGGTAAAACCGGTCTCCCTATTGGGCGAGATGTAATATTATAATAATGCAAACCGTGTACATAATATATTGTACTTGCCAAGCCGGACGTTTTCAACAGCTACCCGGTAGCTCGGCCGTGTATATTTTTTGTATGGACATTACTCACACTGACCGACGAAGCGTTTCAAGCGATTGCCGACAATAATGACTTAAACGGTGGCGTTGTGTTAGTACTTGACATGATGTTAAACTTTAAAATTTTTGCTTTTACAAATCGAAAATCGTTTATTTTTGTATTAATTCGGAAGTGGTTCTTTTATGTCGATTTAAAATATTAACATACTTGTATTATTATTTTTCACTTATATTCACAGAGTGACTGAATGGAATTGTTAACTATAGGTAATTTATATTCTGTAGATCACAATGAGGAATTTGTTGAAAATCAGTTGGCATATAGTTCTCTTCGAAAAATCAAACATGATAATACTTAATAAATACTGTTCTTTTCCTTGAATATTAAGTAGGATTTTCAAATACTTTCAAAGGCTACGCGACTCATTACTAATTTTAAGCTTAAATACATTATGTAATCATCATTATAATAATAATGTAAATACATATACAGGGTGATTATTTTAATGCTAGCCACTCAATACCACTTAAAATAATAATTTTTTTGAACAATTTTTTTTCGATTTTCAAATTACATGTGTATTTCTTGTATCTTATAAGGGCGTCAACTTTATTTTTTTTAATAGAAACATATATATATATATATATTAAATTTTTTTATAAAATAGAAAAAGATCTAGTAAAGAAAATGACTGGTTGATAACAACTTTTGGACTAATTCTTTGAAAGTTATTATCATTTTAAAATATAGACTAGAAATGAAGTACTATTTTTATCATCATGTAGAAATATAGAAATATTTGAGCTAGATTTAAAGTTACTTGTCAATCTTATCATATTTCAAGTATTTTAGTTTTTTTTATGAGGGTCGACTTGTAATAAACATGATTTAAAAAATAATAATTTTTTAAGGATAAAATTTTGCATTCTACAAAGTTAATCAAATGTTTGTATAATAAATATTTTATTTTTCTATACACTAAAATAATAATTTAATGTGTTTCGTTATTGGTTTAAACAAAAAACATAAAAACTTAATAAATACATAAAAAAACAAAAAAACATAAGCTTCATTATTTACATTATAAATATAAAATATTGCTTCAATTAAGTAAATATAATTTTTACAATTATATATAAATAATAGTAAATAAAATAGATGCTTAGAAACAATATAAATAATTGTATCACATTGATATAATACTGTAGTTTTAAAAGTAACAGTAACTTTGTAGAACTTACACAATAACAAAAACAAAAAGTATTTTATTAAAAAAAAGCTGTTGGTAATATTTATATACATTATTTTGGTAATAAAAGTTTATGATTGAGCGACATTGTTTTTTCAAAACTGAAACCTAGAGTGACAAAATGTTAAAATGTATTTAATATTAATCCCAGTTGTTTGAAGAATCAGCACTACAGTTGATCTTTTGCGTTGCCACATCTCCATAAGCTATAGAAAAGACACTTTTCTTTTCCAACATTTGCATTGTTCTAGGTAACCTTACACCACCGGGTGGTAAAGATGTAGATAATCTTCTCCGGGCAATTGCTCTAGACCTTAATGATGGTGTCATGTATTGTAATTGTTTGTCCAGCTCTAAATCTCTAAGACTACAATAAGACCTAGACTTGCGTTTTTCATGATGATGCTCTCCAGCGCTTGGTATTTGCAAAGATTGCAAACTAGTACCTGACCCACTCCCTGTTTCCTCTATAATCGGACTAATAAATTTCCTATGTGGCATACTCGAAGATCTTCTTGGATATTGAGCAGACTTAGAACATGTGCAATCCGTCTGTCCGTTATTTCGACATCTACTTCTACTCTTTAAACACGAATTTATTGTTTGTGTAGCAGTATGTACTTCTGTTTGAGTCGCAATATCAGCACCAGGCAGGCTTCTAGTCTCTAATTTTGTCATGAACTTTTGTTGTTCTTCAGCCAGAAATCTAAATTTATGATAAATAAAAAAATTATTTTTAAATAAAGTGTCTTTATACACTCATAACATTAGGTCGAAATTTTGTTGAAGCACAAAGATATGTTTTATGAATAAAAAATAATTTTAGTTGGTCGATTTAAATATAATTAAAAGATATTTAATTGAGCCAGTTACTTAACTTTTATCTTCGATGCGAAGCTGAGAAGGTATTGGTTTTACTATAATGTGTTTTTTTTTGTCTATTACCACTTTTCTCAGTTCTCACCGAACCGATATCTTTCAATGATACGTCAAAATATCACAAATCGTATCTAGCCGAAGACATTACCCTCAATAATTAAACAAATTTCCCGTGTTCCCCGTAAATGGGGAAACCTCCAAAAAAATTACAAATTTAAAAATAGCTAATTTTCGAAATTTTCGAAATTTTTTTACTTAAAATTGCCATAACTTTTTTAAAAATAACTAAATCAATATAATTTTTTTTTTTATAGATGTATGATATCATTACTTTTTATTTGGTATATTTTTTTATAAATCTGACCTTTTACCTGCCCACAGGAGGGAATTCAAAATGACAACTTTTTCACAAAATATTTACTTTTTAAACTTTTGAAAGTGTTCCGGAAAGTCTGACACTTTTATATATATTTTAAATTAAAGCTAATTTAATGTACTTTATTGTAGAAAAAAAAAATTTCGGACTTTATTTTGTCTTCACGTTGAAAATGGCTACAGAATGCTATTTTTATGTGAAAATTCTCGATATTATTTTTTACATTTTTAACTTTATAATGCTATAACTTATTGAAAAGTGTATGGATCAACACAATTTTTTTATAACAAATAATATTTATGTTCCTCTTTCATTTGACATACTTCATCTTTATCAGGATATTAATAAGGAACTAGCAGATCATGTAGCTTTTGGAATAATACACCAATTTTTTAAAATTAAACACTATCTAAAGATTTGCATCGAAGCGTTTTTTTGTTTGATAGTGATTTTAATCACTGTTAGATATCATTATACTTGATCCAACTATGCTTCGTCACCACTGTGCCGCGATCCCCCTGTGCTGGTTTTTTTTATACAGATGATTAACATTTTTACCTGGTAAGTAAAACATCCCTTTGAAATGCCATCATTTTTTTTTGTTCTTCTTCAAGATCGTCTTTCTTTTTTTCTTCCACGTGTTGTTGTTTTTGTATTGATACGTTTTCTCTTCGATCTTCTTCGATGATTTCTGGTTGACTACTCAAAAATTTGTTCATTATCACTTTTTTACCAGCAGCTTCGTCGTGTACATTAACCGCACCCAAATTTGATGCCGAATCCATAACTTCCAGTGAATCATTGGACATGATACGAAGAATTTCAGCATTTCCTTGTTTGAAAAACATTTCTTGTCTTGTCGTAACTGTTTCATCTGACCAAGATTTCTGTTTATCTAATATACGATACTCATTACCTTCGACGTCTTCGAGAAGAAGAGATTCATCGCTTAATCTTTTTTTAACTTTATTATGTGGTATGACCGTTTTTGTTTTTTTAGCTAATCGAAAAGGTGAATCACGTTTTTCGCTCAAAATATATATCATATTTTTCTGAGTGTCGTTTGGCTGAATACTAGGATTAGACACTTGTGTACCTTTGTTTTCGGCAAGAAATTCTTGGTCAAATTTTTTTCTGTAAGCAAATAAAACCCATCTATATAACATAAAAATCTACTTCTACTAAACAAATATTGCTTGATATTATTAAAAGAAAAAAAACCTAATTAATTCTAGTTAAACTAGTAAAACAGCAAGCAACTTTCTTGATGTACGTACTAAATATAATACTTTTTTTAACGCCTTTTAAGTCCATTAAAGGAAGGCGGTTTCTTAGCCATTGATTTCCTGGGACGGATAGTTAGTCCGTCACCGAAGAGAAGAATGGCTACTCCAATCACCGAACTGATCTCTCGTACGATGAATGAAGCCGCCCGTGATCGAATTTAGAAGAGGCATACCACACACAGATATTTTATTTCTTAAAAGTAATAATATTCTCTATCATAAAATATTAAATTAATAAAATGTTTAAAAAAAGAAGAAAATCAGCGTCTAAAATTGAATATTTGTTGCAAATGATACTGAGTAATGCGTACTTGAGTAACAAGAAACAGCTGCAATTAAAATGAAAAATATCTGGCAGGTTATTAATAAAGCTTTTAACCTATCAGAAAATTAACATAAATTATTATTTTGTAATATGAATTTGGTAATATGAGTACTTAGTAGTTCATAGAGTAGTTAGAGTTAAAATGATAATGGCAAATTATTAATCTATTAAAAAACCTGTTTTATAAAAATTGCAATTCATACTTAACATAATATATCTCACTTTTGTATAAGCCGAAAATATTGCTGGTAACAACAGCAACATAATAATGACAATGCCGCTAGTAAAATTGCTATTAATAATAATAAATTCAACCAAAATGATAAGTCTTTATAGCTATTGTGAACTGCCTGAAACAATATTACTGGTTCATTATTTTGAAAAATGAATAAAAAAAGTTTATTTCAGTTAACATATTAAGAGGGATCTTGACTTTAAAATTTAAAAAAAAATTAAAAGTGATGTCAGACGATTAAATAAAAATATTATATTAGCAATAAAAGAATAGATCATACTTTTTGTTTAGTATCTTCATGGTAATTATAAAAATATCTTCGAAATTCATCAGTATCAATAACAGTGTTAGTGTTGTAAACGACAGTAGCAACCACAATATTTCTAGTGAAATAAGTTTAAATATAAATCAAAACATAAAAATGTATTTATTTTACATACTTGTCAGTTTTAGAATCTTGGGAAAAGTATCCATAGTATGGCTTAATAGAATTTATGGTTATTTTTCCTCCAGTTAGTTGTTCTAATAAAATATGAACGGTCGCCAAATCCATAGAAGAAGGCACTAAAAATGACATCTGCCTGACTCCAGAAGATGGTGGATAAATTCTTACCTGAGTAGTAGTCCATCTATTCGGAATACCTATACACAAATATGGTGATAACCGTCTTTGAAACAATAATGAAAAAATCATATTTCACAGAATATGTGATAAGGGTATAAATAAAATATGTTACCCAAATCATAAGCACGAACTGTAAGCACAACAAACACGGTGTTTATCGATTCCCTTCTAGTTCTGCTAGTATCGTACAAAATATCAGATATAGATAGTTCACCTGTTGAAAATCGAAAAATTATACAGGGTTTCAGTAAGTAAGGAAACAGGTTAATTGTTACAAGAAATGAGAACAATAGAAACCCGTTTCCTTATTTACTGGACATTCTATATACTTTCGATTAGCTAATTGAGATAAAAACGAGTACGCAACATTTTCACATATTTAATCACTAGGGCAAAATACCAGTTGATGACTGTCGGACATAACAATATATTTAGACACAAAGAAGTCGTAAATTAAGCGTAACACACACTCATACATAATAAGACAATATTTCATAAGAAAACAAAATGTACTCGCTCGTATACAATATTTTATATGAATATCTATGAACCTTACCGGTTTCTGAATTCAGGATGAAGCGATTGTTGTAGTTACCGTTAATAATTTCATAACGAACAATATTGTTTGGAGCTTCTGCATCTTTATCGATTGCCTAAAAAATAAGAATAAGTAATAATATTTATAAAAAAAAAAAACATTTGATTTATATGCCCACTAAAAGTCTACTATATTTTATGGAATTAGGAAAAATATGTAGGCTACGTGATTTTACATTTTAAAACATTTGTTTAATCAATGACATTTAAAATATATTTCAAATTTTTTTTTGTGACTAGTAAAATTTTTAAATTATTTATGAATAAAATATTTATAAAAAACACACCCTAATAAAAGCTTTTTCTGTAAAGTTGCGCATGTCTTGAGTTAAAACGAATTGAATAGGAATGTTTTGAAACGTTGGGGTTTCATCATTGATATCTAATATTTGAATAATAAGTGGTACAGTCGTTACTAATCCATTACCATCCATATCTCTAGCTTCAACAGCCATTCTATACTCTATAAAAAATACTAACCTCAAACGTCCATATTTAATTTCATATAATAAACATTTTAAAATAAATAAGAAAATGCATTTCAATAGAAACATTAATTTGATACATGCTATATTTTCATGAAAGATATAAATTTATAATTTTATAAATAAGTTAAATTTGTATATAATGAGAGAATGGAAAAACTTAAATTGTACAATTTACAACAAACCTGCTGATTTTTCTCGATCAAATCCATGATTATCATTTGATAAAACAATAGTACCCACTTGAGGGTCGAGTATCAACGACGAATTTTGAAACCCCAATATTGCAGTGTATCTAACACTGCCCGATGTACCAGTGTCGGGATCTACGGCTTCGACAGTAGTGATTCGTGAACCTGCAGTAGCATTTTCGGGCAGTTGTAGTGTATATAAGGGACTAGTAAAACGAGGAGGATTATCATTAATATCATTGAGATAAACCACTACGGGGGCTCTGGTTTTTTTTGAGTTTCCGGATACAGCAGATAACTCGGTCGCTACCACCTAAAACAAAAATCATAAATTCGGTTTTCATAAAGATTACATACGTGTAAACGTATGTAATTTTTAGGGATTTATCAAGTGCAAAAGAGTACTTGACCTCGAAATAGACGGACTGTCGACTCTCAAAATCCAGCAACCTGTTGTTGCGCACCACAATAGTGAATCGTCCGCGTCTGTCAATCACTCCGGGTGAGACTTCAAACGTGCCGTTATTGTTTTCCAAAGTCAGAGCGTACACCGAATCTTTGCCCTGTTAAGTACACACACGCACTGAGTAAGAATAACACGTAAAACAAACAATGCCAGCGGTAGGTAGGTATTGGAGGTATATACAGTATTTTATGGTTTCAAAAATTAAATAATAATACTAAAATACCGTATTATCGTCATGTACTTGCGTCACGTATCCGTCTCCAAACGCCAACACAGTGCCCTGGGCACTGTTCTCATTTAAATGGCAAACATAACTAGAAAAAAAAACACACACTCATAAACCATGTTACAATAAAAATCAACAAAATGTGCGAACTTTGAATTGTGGAAATATGGTGGACTATCGACAATGTTATCTAGTATCAAAGCAATGTCTACTTCCGTGGACATTGCAGGCTTTTCATCAGCGATCCCAGAAACTTCTTCATCTGCAATCACAGTCAATATCGCCGGTTGCATTGCTTTGGAAATAGCGATCAATTCTGACATTGGTCTTTTTAATTTGATTTCACCTTAGTCATATATATGAAAGCGTTAATCTCTCAAATTCAATGTATTAAAAAAATTAATCGTCAGAAATTCACCAGAAAATAAGCCAATTTCAAATAATACTGTGAAAGGCCGATTTTCAGATACTAATCCGTATTTTATCTTTCTAGGTTTTCCTTTATCCCCATCGATAGCTTCTACTTTGGTAACCACGTCTCCCTGAAATTGTTTAAAAATTATGACTAATAAAATATTTAAATAATTATACAAAAATATATAAATTATTCAGATATAAGATAAACATTTTCGTTTATACTGCCAATAGTGCGTAACTCAGTTTTTGAACGTTTTTAGGACGATTGAAAAATTAATTTTTAACTATATCTTGATGTTTTAATGTGATTTGTGGTTTATTTTCATAAAACACATTGAAACTATAGTCTGACAAAAAAAATTTATAGAATTAAAAATATTCTGATAAACTCATTGAGATAAATTATATAGTTAAAAATCTCATTTTGTCAAATTTTAAGATATACACTGTTCCTGTAAACGACAATATTCACTCTTAATACAATTATTTAAATGTGTTTGTAGCAAGATAATGCCTAGTATAACAGACAATAATACTGTTCAAAAACAATGTAATTATTTATTTGTATATTTGTAAACATATAATGTTACGTAAAATTATAAAAATAGTAAAATTGTATTAGGAGAGACTGGGAGAATGTCAGACAACTAGCGCGAATTGATGTAGCTCAATAGATTTTCGTTCAAATATTTTGAAACAACATGGAAAATAAGCATGAAACATGAAAAACGTTGACCAAATTGTGTCAGATTTTAAAGATCATTAAATCAATATTAAGAACAAAATATTTATTTAAAAAAAAAGAAATCGAATTTAACCGGTACTACCCCAATATAAGAATAAAACCAGCCATGTTAAATGTACATTGAAATATATATGTAATTCAAAATTTAGTATGATATTATTATGAACATTTAAAACAATAATATAACTATATTAGTTATTATTATTAATGATAGAAATGGTAAAGTCACTATGCAATCAGTGTCTTACGCAGTATTTTAGTTTAGAAGAAATTCAGGTGACTGGTATAACACTGTGTCTGGCATTCCCCCAGGCTTCTCTAGCAAATTAAAATTTTTTCAAATTTTTCCTTATAGTAAATTAGAATAAAATTTAATAATGCGGTGTAAACTTTTATTCGCGTATGTAAGTTAACTCAAAAATTCAACTAGTACGCATGGAAATGTTGACAACAGGTAGTCTTGAAAATATATCATATATTTAACAACATATAATGTATAATGGTTATAATTTTTAGACTTCGACACTTTGATTTTCATATCAAAACAAATGTCTTAAATTATTAACACCATCTTTTGTACATGGAAAATGTATACTTTACTAAACAAAAGAAAAATATCTACATAAAATTATTTCATTGATTATTCTACGAATTATCTAACTATTCTAAAATACTCTTTGTAGTTCCTCCTGTTCATTATATTGGTTAAAACAAAATACATATATTTTGTTTGATGCATATACTAGAATTAATTATAGATTTCAACGAACTCTGGTCTATCACAACACCATAATTAAAAATAATGATTTCACAATATCTATTATTAAAAGTAATAATTATTTTCTATCAATTGTTCATATTAATTGACTCAATTTCTTATTTTATGTTACTTGATATAATGCAAGCCATTTTTCTTTTTAAATTAAATTATTTGATTGTTAAATTATTTTTATTCGAAAATTTAGTACGATTTATATATAAATGAAGAAATATTGTTTTATCACTATTACTATCTTATCTACTAATTGTTTATAATATTTTTTATTGGAAATTTTTTTGGATTCTAGAAATTAATCTTAAGGTAATATATCGATTTTCTTTTTAAAAGGCTCTTTCGTTAATTATCGGAAAATGTAAAATATTAATCTTACAACGGACATGTTGTTATGCAGATACACTATTGTTTCCAGTCGTACAAATATCGGCGGCGTGTCTTGTACATCTTCCACAACCACTATGACCTCGAACGCAGCAGCGTTTCTAGAATCTTTGTTTGGATCCACATACATATCGAGCGCTACTACTTGTAGCCTATACATGTTTCTAGTTTCAAAGTCAAGAGGCTGAACAACAGATATCGTGCCGGTAGTCGTATCCTTATTCATGCGAAGTTTCGCCATGGTCAACGCAGTAGTACCCTAAAATATGTTCAATTTTAAAGCTTTTATATTTTAATAATGCTGTTTATATCAAATATTTTGTGTCCTTACTATTAACAAACAGTACTATCGGTAATATTTTTTTTCTTTTTTGGTTCTCATTAATAAATAAGGGCCCAATGTTTTAATTTTTCTAATCTGAGGTGTAATTAAGATGATTAGAGAGATAGATCGACCAGAACAAAGATAATTGTATTGTAAAAATACACTATTATTATTCGGTACAAGTAGTGAACTTTTATACGAGGTGATACGATAATTATGTCTCACATAATCATATTATCTTGAAAAGTATAAGATAAAATAAAATTTTTTTTTTTCAAAAATTATGAATATCCTGTACACTTATATTAACAGAAAAATATATATATCCTCTTTTGTCCTCTTAAAATTTTATCTTTAGCTTTTTTAATGAAAACATGCATGTTTAACTAGCTTACGAATAAAAAATTGACCCGTCGGAAACAACTTTTGAACCATTACATTATATACCTTTTGTATTAATTTAAGTGTGTAGGATACTAATACTTTCTAAAAGAAAATTCATTTTATACTTTTGATGATATTGCGTGAGTCATAGTGGATCACTTATGTATATATATATATATATCCCGCAAGAAAAATTCCCTAGTTCCGTTACTATATTAAAGAGTTAAAAAATAACTATTGAATTTATCGGAAATTATTATCAAAAACGCAAAATTTAGTCAGTCTTACTCTCAATTCAAGCCCAGCTGATTTTCGTACTTCTATATTCTTTCGAACTATCACGTACTCTAGTTCAGATCCGACCTTGATATCCTACAAAAGAATTAATGCAATAAAAAATAATACATAACATTAAATAGCTCATTTTTCTACTTCTGGCACGATTATTATGGCAGGAATATGAGGGAATATTGTATCAATATCATTTCGTGCTTCCGTAGCTATCAGTGTCACTGGTACTGTAGTGGTATCTCCTCTTGTATCTCGAACTGTAATTCGAAACTGAAAAGTTTGCCCCGGAATAAGTACTCGATCTAAATACATGTCAGCCTGACAACTTGATGTGGTATTTGATGGGCATGGAAGGTTTTCTATTCTAACTACGTAACTGCCAAAATCTAAAAATAATATGGCGATTTTATGATATTGCTATTTTTTAATACATCTGAACTAACATTTCAATAATGTTTTTTCCCGATGAAAATTAATAAGTATTAATACAAATGATCATTGGCGTAGTTATGGAGGATATGGGTGTCATATCACTCTCATGATAAAAATAATTATACACAGTAATCGGATTATCATAAACCACTCGATTACCCGCAAAATAAATTTTTTTTTACTAGCTACATAAAGGTACAGTAACTTATAGGTGTATCAACTTTAGTTTTTCAAATGGCAACATATCATTAATTAGCTTATAAAATAAATGATGATCTAATTAAGAAAATGACTGGTCGATAACAACTTTTGAATTAGTATTTCGGAAGTTATTAACATTTTATAATGTTGACTAGAGGTGAGACACGGGAGTTGTTATTTGAATCACTATTAATTTCTGGGCTCTTCTTTATCTCCCGCCAAGATATAAAAATGAGAATAACATTCGAAGGACTAGTCCAAAAGTTGTTATCAATCAGTCATGCCCTTAGTTGGATAATTTTCTATTATATGAACTAGTTAAATATACATGTTTCCATTAAATAAAATAAATCTGGCAACCCTATAAGTTTTGGGAAATAGTTCTAAAAAGTAATTAGTAGCTGATAAATCAGGAAATATATGCAATTTTATGTAAGTGAGGTGAAAATTAAACTAATTTACAACAGTAATTAATCTAGCGCTAAAATAGTGAAATGGCCCTGGAATAAATATCGGTACATTTTCTGGGTATGTATTTCTATTTTAATTTTATTTACTATAAAGGTTTAAAGTGCAAAAAATTTTAAAACATAATAGTTTTTGACCAAATTTATTCAGCTATTTGGCACGCGAGGTATAAATATTTTATTTCAAGGCTTTATTTAAGTACTATACAAAGGATTCTCATACCGGTGGCTTGAAAATATAATGGATAGTTTTTGTCGTGATCGGAAGCTCTTAACCGGTAAATTAATGACCCAATGTGCACTCCGGATGGAATCAGCAATTCCCTGAGCTCAGTGGCACCTTCGAATACTGGATAGTTACTGACGGCGATCTTACAAAGCATCATGGTCACCAATAGACCGATGACCACAATATATTGATGAGTAATCATCTAGAATTAGGTCAAGTACCCATCTATTTTTTCGACGCTTGACAGATACTTGTTATACATAATTTCATCTAAAAATCAACAATGCAGTATAACATTCTATAACATGATTATTTTGTTTTAAATTTTTAGTGTACCAAAACTCCTATTTCTATACATAATTAAATTGAATATTAGTAAGAAGTAAAACGTATAGCAGCAAATTAATTTTGATACCCGGTAAAGAGACTGGTGGAGCTACTAATAATTTTAGTTTATTTAACCCACAACTTCTTAATAGTTGTATTGTAGGCGGGTAAATGAATATTTCAAGTACAGTATGGTTGAGTGAAGAAACATTTTTGGTTCGATAAATGCAAATGTGACAGTTATTTGAAAATGAGGTCACGGAGTGGTCGAAGCCTTTGACCCTTGTCCATTCAAAAATACCACTTTCACGTGACTATGGGTCGTTAGCCCTCCACCTCCCTCTCTATTTACCCGGTGAGCTCTTTTTATTTTTTTCGTTAAAACACACTTAGACTATTGTCATTAAAGCCAGCGCCGTAATGAATAACTTCCTACCTATTTACACACCTTAAGGAAAAATTATAATACAAACATTTTTCTTTATATTATTTCTTTTTTATTGTGTTGCTTTAAATTCGTGCAAAATGCATTTTTTAGTTGTCAGTCGACAAAAGTTTGTTCATTATAAATTAGTAAAAACATGTGTAACATGATCAGTTATCTTTTTATTTCAATATTTTTTCAATAATTTACCTAAAAAATCTTCTAAGTATATTAATTAATAAGTAATCATGTGTTTAAATTTTTCAAAAAGTATAGTTTTGTGCAGTTTAGTATAAATTAGTAAAAATAGAGTAATTGTTAAACATACATCTGTTAACTCATATCAAAAAAAAAGAATCGGAATACTGGGGACCAGAATATTAAAAATTAAAACGAGTAAATGTAATTAATTTGCATATATTTTTAATGAATAATAAAATTTCAATCTTAGTTAAATCTATAGTGATTTTTTCACATTTGGAATAGTATCTTTAACTAGATATGATAAAGAATATTTTAACGAACCTATTATTGATCGATAATACTGGTCAGTTAGAGTGTTTTCAATAAAATGTCTAATCAAATAGTTATTAATTTTCTAATTATATTTTAAAACATATAACTTCTCAATTACACAATACAACTAAAATAATTTTAAGTGCCTACTTTATATCTTAGTTTTAAGAGGTACAATAAAATATGTGGCACGTAATTCGTGTTAGATTTTTATGTTAATAATTTTCTTAGAAGGCATTTATAAAAAAAATAGATTTTTTACTGTTACCACATACAACATTAAGCGTTATTTAAATTTTATCTTATTATGAATTAGATATTCATCATAAGTATTCAATACTTCTTAAATTAGGACATAAAATACTTTATATAATAAAGTTTATTTCTTTATATAAAGCTGTAATAAAATAAAAGATAAAAAAATTATAATTATTTATTATTTTTAGAATCATTTGTTGAATAATTATAAAACACATTATGTAATTATATTGAACATTAAGATTATCTGCTATTTAATTTATAAATATAAAATCCAATGCTAAGCTTTATAATATTGCGTGTATACTTAAATGAAGAACTATTTGATAAAACAATATTTAAAAAAATAGTAGACCGTTCGATTACAAAATATTGATAGTTCATAATATTTTTTTTATTGAATTAATAAATTTAATTATAAATTCAAACTACAAATATAAAAAGATAAATTTTGTGTTACGCAATATATTAATAAGAAAATCTAAACCTACAATTCGCGTTTTATTAATTTTATTAAGAAAAATGATTTTTTTTTAAAGTTGATGTATAATTTAGGTCATTTTAATCTAAAAAGTTGAATTAAACTAAATAAAACTTTGTGAAAAAACCTCGCTCTTCTTTTATTTTGAACTCAAGTTATTATAAAACTAGGACATTTATCTATTTAAACTTATTATCAACGTTCTATTTTAAATAATATCGTACAATTTACTATTTTGTAAACTATAAAGTTCATCTACGATAGTTAATCAATGTTACTCGCCTATTAGTTACCTAAACCTAACAATTTATAATTCGTTGAAAAATTCTCACGTGCTAAGTTTTAATTTAAAATTATAATTTATTGACTACCTGTCCATCAAGAGATACCTCATTATTCGTGTTTAACTGTAAGGAGTAATAATAAAACATAAATTTTTGATTTTATCAAAAAGTATGAACTTATATTATAAAAGTTTACTATAGTTTTATGTAATGCTTGAGAACACAAACAACTGTCTCCTAACTTTTTCAGATAAAAATATATTTTAATAAAAATACTACAATGGCAGAAATAAACACACAAAACTTAACTATGGTTAGTACGTACCTATACGATATAAGAACGTTGTTGAAGAATCAGAGTCCTTTTTGAAATGAAAAGACCTAAACGCCGTTACTGACCATTAAATGACTTGCATGCTAATTTTGTTGCCTTAGAAACGCCGGCCAACCAAACATTGCGGCATGCAACTCGGTCCAAAATATCATCCAATACCGCTTCTTAACAATATTTGTTTTGAATTAATAAAAAATAATATATGTTGAAGAATTATTAGTTTATATTATCTTTTTTATTGATATAATAAATTTAATTCATCTAAATTAAAAAAACATGTATTATTCATAGTACTTGATGCAATACTTAAAAAAAAAAAAAATTGTTTGTTATTTATAAATAAATTTAGTAGTTTACAAAGAATTTTCATCAGAGACCAAAATATACTATTCCATACCTATTTTTGCGACTATTTTAAAGTTTCGCATTAAAACTAAATAATAACAAAATCCTTCTAATTAATATAATAAATATTTATGTTTGATTATTATGTTACGTATGAATAAACAATAAATATATTTTAATTAAAAAAATTCGTAACAAGCAGAACGTATTATGTGCAGTATATCAATATAAATAATTATTTAAACACTAAGAGTTGCATTGAAATGCATAGTAAGACTTCTATTTAAATGATTTATTATAATAAAACGTTTTTATCAAAATTTTGAGTTTTCATTATAAATTTACTGTTCATAGTATTTATATGTTTCTGATCACATATCAATTTAATAAATCGAATATTTTATTCCATATAAAAATTTTCTAATTAATGATATAAATTCTAAACTTGCGAGCTAAGCTAAAATTGTGTTTAAAATTTCAATATTTTTAAATTATAAACTTTCATAAAAATAAGTTAAAAATTATATTTTGCGTTTAAATTATGCATGGATTATTTTTAACATATTAAATATCAATAATAACTTGATAAAAATTTTTTTTCTAAATTAATTTTTTTATGTGTTTTTTATAATAATAATCTCAAAAAAGAGACGAGAGAAAAAATCTAATTTTAGACTTGAAATCAGCATAAAAATTTGGTATAGTAAAATGTATATTGGTCTATTAACATTAAAAAATATTATTTTATTTTACTGATTTGATTTTACTCTGTAATTCAGTATAACAAATTTTATACTCCTATTAATTTTGAGATATTTGTCAGCATTTCTAAAATTAATAGATTGTTTCCAATATTTGGGGATTATAAGTTCAACAAGATTAAAATCATGTTCTTCTAACGTATTGGTCATTAAAAATGAGAGTTGAGAAAAATTAACAACAAACACAAAAATAAACCATATAGTAATATATTTTAACATGAATTAGAATTTTCTCCTCACAAGAGGAGAATATAAAGATAAGTACTTGATTGAAGTTATTTAATCTAAATAAGATAAAAATTAAAACTACTTTGAATTTTTTTTCCCACCTCAAAAAAAAATTAAGAAAAAAATGCACTGAAATTTATTTTGACTGGCGGGGTTCAAAATTCGTACCCAGATCGTACAAGACTGTAAAATATACAAAACAGCCACCGTACACTATGTGTTTGCTTAGATGAAAAAAACTATTTAAACTACATAAAACCTTCAAAGTTATTTATTTTAATTTTGAGATAGAAAAATAATAAAAATATGTTTAAATTTATATTTTATGTAAGTTAGATTCATGTAATAATTATAAAAATTAGTGGACTCATTACTATGGCTAATCCTTGTAAGGTATTTTAAAATAAACAAACAAAAAAACAAAGTTGGGAAAAGTATAGATGATATCTGACAGTGATTAAATTCACTATCATAAGAAACGCTTCGATGCAATTTTAAAGAATTGGTGGATTATACCAAAAGCAAAACTAATTCCTATTTCCTTTATTATTCCTGATTAGTAGTTTTTTTAATTAAATGTATAATATATTATTTTATATCAATATATTTTATAATAAATATATTTTTTATTTTAATATATTAAATATCTTAATAGATATTAATTAATTAATTAATTAGCAATTAAATATAGTTTGAAATTGATATTTAATAACTTAGTATTGTAATTTTTACAGAAAAATTATAAAGTAGTTGTTACTTTTGATACAAAAATTTTCAAAAGACAATTTGTGCTTAATTATGAATAAATGGTCTACAAATCATTTTTATCAGAGTCAAAAATATACTTTTATTATTCAATTTTTCGTGCTAATATCAAATCAACAATTAGATTTTTTCTATCACCATTAATTTTTAAAATTATTAATAATTAAATCAAAACAAGTACTAACATATAAAAAAAAATTACTATAAAAATATTAGTTAAAATGAAATTCAATAACACAACAGTAAACGAAATAATATGTGAAACTAGGCACGGAATATTTTTGAATATCAGTATATTATAGAATTATAATATGGTTCTAAATATTTGAATTGTAACACCTATTTAAATAGCAAAAGTTACATAGAAATGATTACTAGGACTTCTATTTAAATAATTTATTACAATAAAAGTTTTAAAAAATAGTGATTTTAACGAAATGTTTAGTTTTCCTTATAAATTTACTGTTAATAGTAATTATATAAATTCCTAATCAATCTAAAAAATATAATTTTTTATTCCTCATAAAATTTTAGACTTTAAATATAGATCACAGCCACTGTGATCTACATGGATAAGTAGATAAAAAAAATATTTAAGCTCGTTTAAAAATTCAAAGTCGCTTATATTACATAACATAAGCTTTAATTTTATATATGTTTAATGGACGCAGTATTTATGAAATATTTTCAAAAATTAAATTGAAAAAAAATTACTATTTTAAATCCCTCATATGAGCAGAATAAGTGTTAGATTTTCAAAAAAATGATATCAAATGAAAGGAAAATATCTAAGGTTTTAGTATAAAAAAAAATTATGTTGATTTGTTTATTTTTGAAAAAGTTATGGAAGTTTTAAGAAAAAAAAGTAAAAAAAATGACAAAATTTACCAATTTTTAAATTTGTAATTTTTTTGGATATTTCCCCCATTTGCGGGGAACGAGGGAAAAATTTTCAATGTTTAAGGGTAATGTCTTCAACTAGATACGATTTGTGATCTTTTGATGTATTGTTGAAAGAAATCGGTCCAGTGAGAGCTGAGAAAAAGTGGCAACAGACATAAAAAAAAAAAAAAAAACTCATCATAGTAAAATTAATACCTTCTCAGCTTCGCATCGAAGCTAAAAACATTAAAAAAAAACAAACATTTAAACAAAATATAAAATAAATGTTTAAATGAAATTGAAAGAGAGGTTTTCATTTTACATTTTCATTAAACGTTTAATTGACTCATTATAAATATAATTAGAACAGATAGGTATGATGAAGGGAGCATGATTTCTGGATTTTCTCTGGGGAACTTTAAAATTAATTAGTGCTAAAAGAGATGGAGAGTCTACTTTATCATCAAGCAAATTTTTTAAGAATTTAGTACCTAGGGCCTTTCGGCGATCAGCAAGTGAGAGAAGATTAAGGTATTCGGCAATAGGTGAGTATTCATGTTGGGGATGAGGAATATCTTATACAATACCAGCAAACCGCAATGACTTACGTTGTACTCTTTTAACCAAATAAGCGTCGTTGGCTATGTGGATTACAGATGATAACACCATACTCTAAAATAGGACGAACAAACGTACAAAATAGTGTTTTTATTACTAATTTAAGTTTAAAGTCAGAAGCTATCCTCATTATAAAACCGAGAACCTTAAGCGCTTTACAACAAATCATATCAATATGGGGCCAAGGATCTAAAGAACCATTAAATTTAACGCCAAGATCTATGACAGTGTCATAAACACGAGTAAGGTTAGAATCGCCGATAAAATAATAATGCATTATGGGAGATTTAGAGCCAGTGAAAGACATAACTTGATATTTAGAAATATTTAGCAACAAGCCCAGCGCCTAAAAACCAAGTTGTAAATCGGTTTAAGTCATGCTGAAGCTTAATAAAATGTTCCCGCATATTAATTTGCAAAAAAAGCTTCATGTCATCAATTTATAAAAAGAGAGAATAAAAGGGGAGACAGATGCCCCCTTGAGGAACTCCCGATGAGGTCAAAAATAAGTCAGACTTAATACTATGTACTCATTGGTATCTTAAGAAGATTAAGAAGATAGGAGCGAAACAATTATAAAAGTAATTTAATAATTAACTGAGAACAGTTTTTGTATTTAGAACCTATTATTTTTAATTTCGATAAAAAGCTTAGAAAGTATTCATTTTTCCATGGTAATAAACAATATAATTAATAATATATTTTATTATGATATTATTAATAATAAAAATCTGTTTACTAACATAAATTGATTTATAATTATTGATTAAAATATATCATATTTTATGATTCATAAATATTGAATGTGTACTGTGCCTTTCATAGCATAAGTGTCCAAAAACAATTATATGTAAAGAAAGAATCATATATGTACAGTACAATAAGAGCTAAACAACTATTAGAGAATAATTTTAAAAGAAAGGACTTAATATTTTTCGTTCAAAGTTATAATAATTTATAACAATTTAATAATTTATTATAAATAATTTTTATTACAGGAACATTTATTACTTTTATAACAAAATATCATAAACAAAAAAAAGTAAGATAAATAAATACTAAGAACTTTCGGAATCTGATATTATTTCATCAATTCGGCATTCATTCATTAAGTTTTTTTTTAGTTTTTTTTCCTTTTCATCACAATTAATACTTAATCTGAAAATAATTTTTAGACAACTTTAATACACTTTTTCATAAAATATAATAAAAATTTAATAAGATTTATTTTTTAGCCAAACTTAAAGCATGATAGCACAATTTTAATATAATACTTTATATTTTATTTATACTAAATGTTTAAACATAATATTAACTTGATTACTCTTATTCATATTAAAATTGCAAAAGAGCAGATACAGTTTAATGGAAAAAAAAGTTTTACTTTAAAGTATAATTATTTTAATCTTAAATAAGATTAACAATAATTGACGACTTTAATTTGAAGGTAAGTTTTCAAAAAAAAAAATTTCAATGACATTTTATTTTTTTTTCCTCATGAATATTATTTAAAAGAGAAATCTGAAAAAAATCATGTCGCTACCCCCTGTTAGTTTTAAATATGGCCCTGAATGATGATACTATTCAGGGCTGTATTTAAGAATAATATTGATTAATGAACATAATGTATATTACTCAATATATTAAATATTAATTTAATGATTTTACTTACCCCTGCCTTAATAGTGTAAAATCTGAATCTGATAAAAATGGGTATTTATGCTTTCCTATTTTAAGTTGGTGGGAAATATGTTTAAGATAGCGTTCCCTCATTGATTGCCACGTTCTTATTTTGCAAATCTTAATATATTTACAATGAATTTAATTATTTTATTATCAAATTAACAGTTAAAAAGTATAAATAATCAGCTTGGGTATAAAAATTGTTTGTTTCAAAAATTTCATTCCTAATAATTTTTTATTATAATACAATTTTTTATTAAATATATTTGTTACACATATCATTTCTAAATAAACAATATTTAAAATATGACTAACTTATTTGAGATATGATATTTAAATTTTTTATTGACATCTAAAAATATACAAATATTTATCATACTATACAGTTAGCATAGTTTATAATATAGGTATAGATACATTCTTAGCATCCAAAAATTAAGAGATTTTTTGGGGGAAAGAGTGGAGAAGAAAAAGCAATGTAGTAGGAAATTACCCACAAGACCTCAAGTATACTAAACTTGTAGTATATTAGTATTAGTATTTTTTTTTTTATTATAGGTTATAGTACATATCTAAAATCTAATAATTGATTATACATAAACTATTATTGTGTAACCATTATATAACTATAGCCTCTAACCTCCGCTCTTTCCATTCTTTGCCACATTTCTCTTCCCGAAACATTAAAAGCATCTTTATTTTTAACAATGTATTCTACTATATTCAAGTCTTCCTTGTGTGTATATGCCATTCTTGTTCTAAAAGAAAAATGTATAAATACAACATACTATTAAAGAAATAAAGTACAATTTTCATTATATTTATTCAAATATATATAAAAAAATAATTAATAATAGGCTCTTTATTTATTTTATGACTTTAAAGGAATAAATATTTTTCTTAGTTATTAATAATTCAGAAACTAAATATTTTTAAATTATANAATTATACTACAAATGTAAAAAATCAGTTTTAGATACTAAAACCAACAGCTACCTATATTTAATGATTATTTAAACAATTTAGAGAATAGAAATATAAATATAAATAAAAAAAAAAACTATCAAATAAAAATAATATTTATATTTTATTATTATACGATGAAATAGTTCTAAAATAATTAGTTAAACTTATTTTGTACAAGATCTAACTGTTCTACAATTTTATTTAAATGTTTTCATTAAAAGTAATGTTAAAAAGCTTTCTTTAAATAAAATATTTTCACAATAGAAATATAGATCTTGTTTTTTTACTGAATTACACAAACAAACATATATATTCGAAATGAACAAAATATTATTTTCTGAAAAAATGAGACTTATCTGGTTGTTGCATTAAGCCCTTAAATTTTAAGAATTCAAACATTTTAAACTCAGGAAAGATGGTACACAATGAAGCACAGTGAAGAAAGTAAATTTCTTTTTTTTTACTTAAGCAAACAATAATAATAATTATATTATGCATATTGAAATTTTTTCATACATACGTCATTTAATAAGTATTTATTTATGATGATTTTTGGGTTAACAAAATTTAGAAGATATAAAATATTTAATTTAAAAAATTTATAAATATGTTTATACCTTTTTTTGCTATCAGATTTAGCATTATCTTTGAAAGGTTTATCAAAATCGCTTGTATCTTCAATATGTTTTTTAGAGCTAAATCAAACATGAAAACTTGATTGACTAAATATCAAAGTGAAATGATGAATTTTAAACTTAATATTTTTCAACATTATAAAAAAAAAATAAAAAATTGTAATTAGGTGCAATACATAAGTAAAATTAAATTTATTATTAACTTACGTAGAAGTCGTTGCTCTATTATTAGAAGAAATATGATCACTACCCAGTTTTCTTTTTAGTGAAATCGATGTAAAAACACTTGTAGTCATTGTATTGCTATTACTTTGTTTTAATCCATAATTTGGTAGCTCATCATACCAAGTAAATTTATGATGGAACCAACAAGAATATATATCTTTCTGTGTATAATCAATAGGACATGATTTTTTTATCCTATATTTGAATAGATTAAAATAAAAATTAAAAAAACATTACTTATTTAATACATACATATGTTATTAATTTTTATTTCATAAATATATATTTTTAGAGATATAACAAGCATTTTTTCTTTCATAAAAAACGAAGAAAAAATTATATTCTTGAAAAGCTCAATAATAATCATATAGTATTAACCAAATAATAATTAGAAGTATTGTATAACCATTGCAATTATTTATTAATGTCTATTAATTAATTAATATGTAATCTAAATACATGTCAATTTCAATTACTTTATTAAAAATATTATAATTAATAAGATATATTAAACAAAATATATAATGAAATACAAGGAGAGGTGCCTTAGTGCATGTTGTTTCGCTGATGATATAGTGTTAATAGGAGAAAATTAATCATAGGCTAGAGGTATGGGGATCATTTCTTGAAAAAAAGGGTTCAAGAATAAGCAGGAGTAAAACAGAGTATATATAGTACGAGTTTGACAAAAGAGAACACGAGGTAAGTGAAATGTGGAGTTCAGTGACAATAGGTGAGGACGTGATAAGAGATGTGGAAAGTTTTAAGTATTTAGGATTAATTATGCAAAAGAGCAGTGGTTTTGACAAAAGTATAAGACACAGGATTAAGTGCGGGTGGTTAAAGTAGAGAGAAGCGTTTGGTGTGTTATGCGTTAAAATAATTCCAACGAGTCTGAAAGGTAAATTATATAAGAGTGTAGTGAGACCAGTTATGATGTATGGTTCAGAGTGTTGGACAGTTGACAAGAAAGTAGAGCAGAGATGAGAATACTTAGATGGATAAGTGGAGTGACTAGAGAAGATAGGATAAGGAATAAACATATATGAGACAGTATAGGTGTAGCTTCAATCGTAGATAAGATGAGAGAAAATAGACCTAAATGGTTTGGTCATGTTATGAGGAGAGATGAATCGGAAGCGGTAAGAACAATTATAGAAATGAATGTTGAAGGAAGAAGAGGTAGAGGAAGATCAAAAAAGAGTTGGACAGATGTAATTGAATGTGATATGAGGACGGCTGATTGTGTTAAGTGGAAGTTTAGGATAAGTATGGTCGAACCCAATTAGTTGGAATTAAGGTGAGGAAAATGAAGAAAATATATTAAACAAAAAATTTTATTTATAAACATAGCAAAGTGATATTTTTAATAAAATAAAATAAAACATATAATATCTAATAATAATTCAAATTTACATTTAAAACAAATAAGTTCTTAGGTCAACTAAGTTATTCTAAGTAGCATCCTACAACTCTTGTTCATTCAATCACTTATATATAAATGTATAAAGTAAATTAATTTACTCTTTAATTACTCTTTCAAGTTTCTCTTATAGAATTTTTAAAAATTTTCATTGAAAATACAGTAAATAGTTTCATTATATATTAATATTTCATTGACTCACAAATATTTTCTAGGATCCAAAAACTGTTGTGCTATTAAACAATCTTTAACATATTTTACATCAAATGCAGGAATATTTAAATGATAATAATCACATTTCTTTGGATTTGATAAAACCATGGTATGTCCATCTGCTTTCTCCAACACTACTCCTATACCATGCTGCAATTAAAATTTGTATTTTTTACCAATCATATATGATCTACTCAAACATTATGGCAAGTCAATATAAAAAATATACTTTAAATGATAACTATAGCACTATCATTTTCCTCTGATATTTAAACAAATTTAATAATTAATAATAATTAATTAATTTAATTTAGAATTCATTTTTTGACACATACCAAACACTTAATATTTTGACTGACATAGTTAATTTTAAGAATTATTTAACTATACAAAGGCTATGGTAAAAATCAAATTTTAATATGCTAAGAAAATCTGTTTACAAAATAACATATACAGTAATATACGTAAATGAAATTTACTAAAACATTATCCTAAAGTTATCTTATTTAAAAACTTTTAAAATTCAGATGATGATACCCAAGTTTAAAATCATAATATGATTTTAGGCGTATTATACTAAAACAATGTTCTTTTATACTAAGTTATTCATAAAAATTATACTTACATCGACGATGTTGAAATAAAATTTATCATCTTTATCCCAGTTAAACAAGAATTTCAAGGGTTGTAGTTCATTATTAAAAAAATAAAAATAATCTAATGAATCACTTTCGTCTGAACTTTCCATTGTTGAGATAATTCCAGATGGATTTTGGTTTAAAAAAAATATGAATTTTATTTCTTTTAAATTTTGAACTACTTTTTAAGATGTTAAATAAAACCAAATTCAATTTGGACAAACATTTTATTTGGCGGGAGATTACAGGTATATAAACACTTATATAAATAATAAACTAAATTGTACGTAAAGTGTAAGAACTGATAATGTTTGGCCAAAAAATGGCTTCATTCAATAATATCACAGAATAAACAGAATGGACACTGATAAAATATTACATGGTCAATATAGGTGATTAGAATCAGTCCACTTTTTTTATGTAGGTATTACAATGTGACCACTTTTCAACACTAAAATTGTGTATACCTTTTTCAAATTGTGAAGTAACAATTTTAATGACGGTATTTTTAGTTTTTTTTATAAATTTTTGAACGTGTATAACACTACATAAATATTTAATATATTTAAATAATATAATAATATAATAATACGATAATTCAAATTAATGCAATAAAAACACTAAAAATAATTATTTGTGTTCAATTGAATTATACATATTTTAAATATTTCATACAATTTTTTCTAAAATTTTTCATTAATTTTGAGTAAATTATCTTATAAAATACATTATGGTTAAATGAATACCTTCTCAGCTTTGCATCGAAGCTAAAAACAAAAAATAATCAATTAACATACTAATACTGTTTCAAAATACACATTCATCACATAAATTATACAATCATCAATGGTTAAAGTAAAGGGGGACGGAAGGGGACGGAGTCCCTCTTCTTATTAGGAGTGTAATTTTGCGTCCCCTTTAAGTGAAATCCCAAAAACGCCGGGGGGACGCTTTAATTTTGAGCACTGAAGAGTGTAAAACGTTAACATAAGAAATTTATTCAAATGATCAAAATTTCAAAATTGTTAAAAAAACAAATAATTGTAAAAGAACTTAAATTATGAAATTATAAGAATTTTATGATACGACCGTGGTAATTTAAATACTTAGAGCACGGTCGACCGTGACGTCTTAGAGTATAAACCATAGTCAACAATCTTCAACCGTGATGATAAACTGTTAAGTTAATAACTTTAGTTATCAGTTTTATACATAGACCTAATAAATATTTAATATTATATGTAATAACTTGTGTTATAAGATCTATATATAGATTTTATAATTATTACAACTATGGCTGGTCTTTTTAAGTATAACTTTACAAAAATTAAAAAGACTGATGTCGATTTATCTAGTCCAAATGTTTAAAACAGCTGTTTGGCTAAAATAAAATTACCAGAGACTAAATTAGACGTTCCTGAATGTTAGGATTAAATTTACATTATTTTGTCTAGTCAAAATGTGGCATTTTACTTTAAAGTGTACATTACTATTATTGTCAGTTAAAAAATGCATAATGGTTCATGACATTTTGTATTAATAATTAACGTCTGCTTTCATGTTAGTGAACAAATTATAAATTAGTGATATAGATATAATTATTGTGACATAAGTCATGTGTGTCAAAAGGTAATTTTTAATACCAACTTAAATGTTGTTCTGGTTCAAGCATGTGAAACCAATCATAAGGTTATAAAAAATATGTTTGTTATGTTGGGACAAATAATTATCGTTATTTAATCAGGTGGGGATTATTATAATTTTGATAATGACTTTGTGATGTGTTTGCGTAAAATTCATTTCTAATTGATTTCTAATGAAATAACAAAAATTGTAGGTAGGTACTAATCTATTCTTTTATTGAGATAATTTTTTTTTACCAATTAAGTATATTTTCATATTATGAAAAATATTCTTTTTAGCCTTTAAAGGGGGTAGACTATTCGGCGTGGCTCGGGAACGCTCCTCAATTTTTAGGAACTATAGTCCCCCTTGTAGTTTTTCCCTCTTTAACCACTGACAATCCATAAACAATTAAAAAATTAAAACATAATAAAAACTTTTTTAAATAATCTAAAACATGTAAATGTATTTTTTAATATTTTAGTGTATCAAGTTTCCTATATTTTCTTGGTTTTAATAAAATATTTTTGTTTAAAAATTTTAAAGAACTAAATATTCCCAGTCTTATTTAAAGGTTATTTAAAAACTCATAATCAAGGTTTGAACATGAATTTTTAAAGGGAAGATTACTTATTAAATTTCTTATTTCTTTTCCTACATTATTGTTTACAGAAATTATTGGAAATACTTCTATAAAAATATTATCTAACTCACTAATATAATTTTCAAACACATCGGGCAGAGTAATTAAGTTTCCATGAGTAGATAAATTTTCATTATGGTAAGCCTTAAAATATGTAAAAAAAAAAGATTCATCTAACTGATTTTTTTTTTTGAGATTTAACATCACTAATACGTATACCACAATTTTGTTTCTCTAGTTATTTCTTAACTAGATAGTCACATACATAAATAAGAGCATTTATAGCAGGAAAGGGGGCAGAGTAAAAACCTCCGTGTGGTGCCCCTGGAAACGACGAGATAAAATGAAGACGCTCAAGAAAGACTCAATGTCTTTCTACAAAGATTTTAACCTTATCTCGTCGACTAATTCTACTAAACCCGGTCGTAAGTGCAGTTCTAAAAGGCCTTTTTCAGGGCCAGCTATTACAACGATCTTAATAAACATTGAGGGATTAACGAGACAAAAGGAGACAATTCTAGCACACCTATGTAAGGAAAATAAATGTGACATACTATGCATACAAGAAACACACAGAGATAGACACCATACACCAGACCGAGAATAGAAGATATGTGTCTTGTAGCGGAAAGATCACACAATAAACACGGGAGCGCAGTATTTGCAAGACCCGAAATAGCAATAAAATCAACATCGTACACTGAAAATTGGCATTGAAAGAATAAGTATAAAACTATGTAGATGCACGGTAACATCGATCTATAAACCCCCAAACCAGATATTCAAATTTAAAAAAACCAAAAAACTTTAGTTCAGAGGCGACCAATATAGTAGTAGGGGATTTTAATAGCAGGAGCATAAACTGGGGCTAAATAAACACAGATGAAAGTGAGGAGAGTGTTGAGAGATGGCTAGTGCTACCAATTTAATGCTTCTGCATGATCTAATGTTACCGTCTTCATTTCAAAGTGGGAGGTGGAGAAGAGGGTACAACCCCGATAACATTTTCATTTCGGAAAAGATTAGTAACATGAGTCAAAAGAGTGTGCTAGAACACATCCCAAAATCACAACACAGGCCGATTATGATACAAGTACAGCAGCGGTGAAACCCTTGGAAGTACCCTTTAAAAGAAGATACAATTTCAAAAAAGCGAACTGGAGTGAATTCAAGATTTTTTTGGATGAAGAAATAATAGGAATAGAACCGGACCCAAAAAATTATGTATGCTTTATAAATTTAGTCAAAACAATTTCAAGAAAATGTATACCTAGAGGATGCAGAAAGAACTACATTCCTGGTTTTAGTCAAGCCACCGTAAATTAGCTGCGGAACTACAATGATATGTATGAATCCCATCCATTTGCAGAAGAAACTATTGCTTTGGGTGAGGAAGTTATGCAAGATATCTCAGGAGCAAAAAGAGAAAAATGGAAAAATGTAGTAGTTGAAGGAATAGATATGAATAGTAATAGTTATAAAGCATGGCAATTACTCAGAAAACTAAATAATGAAAAGGTAAAGCAACACGAACATATAAATGTGAAACCAAATGAAATAGCCAGACAGCTAGTTTTGAATGGCAAGACAAACAACAAAAGTGCGAAAATTAAAACACAAAGATCGAAAGAAAGTGAAGTAAATGATTTCCAGGAACCTTTTAGAACTGAAGAATTAGATGAAGCTATAAGTATGTTAAAATCTAGGAAAGCAGCTGGTGTCGATGACATATTATCGGAACAGATAAAACAATTCGGGCCGAAGACGAAAGAATAGCTTTTGGAAATGTTCAACAAAGTAGTAAGATCAAAAATAATACCCAAGGAATGGGGGAAAGCACATGTGTGTGCCTTATTGAGATCTGGGAAGCAGCCAAACGAGGCAAAGAATTTCAGACCGGTGTCCCTGTTTTCCACTTATTTAAACTATTTGAAAGATTAGTACTAAAGCGCATATCACAAAAATAGAGACAAAGCTGATAAAACAACAGGCAGGGTTTCGAGGAGGGAAATCATGTACAGGGCAGGTATTAAACGTTACACAGTATATAGAGGATGGTTTCGAAAAGAGCAAGATTACGGGGGCAGCTTTCGTAGGTCTAAGCGCGGCGTACGATACCGTAAACCACCGGTTACTGCCGAAGAAAATTTATGACATAACTAAAGACTTTGGATTTGTAGAGCTACTTAGGTCAATGCTGAAGGACCGTAGGTTCTATGTAACGCTCCAGGGTAGAAATAGTAAATGGAGAATCCAAAAAGAAGGATTACCCCAAGGTAGTGTGATGGCACCAACATTTTTCAATGTATATACAAATGATCAGCCGATCGGAGAAGAGACTCATCATTTTGTATATGCCGATGATCTGGCTGTAATGGTACAAGGCGACAATTTTGAGATGGTTGAAAATAAGCTGGAGGGAATGTTGGAAACACTAGGACAATATTATCATAGGAATCTTCTGAAGCAAAACCCGTCCAAAACTCAAGTGTGCGTATTCCATCTGCGTAACAAGCAGGCGAAGAGAAAAATAAAAGTAAAATGGCAAGGAGGATTTCTTGAACAATGTAACACACCAACATACTTAGGTGTGACATTAGATAGAACATTTACCTACAAGAATCACTGTGAAAAAACGCAGAAAAAGTAAACACAAGGAATGGAATAATACGAAAATTAGTAGGATCCAAATGGGGAGCGGACCCGGATACATTACGAATATCAGCCTTGGCACTATGTTTCCCTACGGCAAAATATGCTTGTCCAGTGTGGAAGAACTCTGTACATACTAAAAAAGTGGATGTAGCCACAAATGAAACATGCCGAACAATGACAGAATGTTTGAAACCTACCAAAATAGAAAACTTATATATGCTCAGTGGTATAGCACCACCACAAATTAGACGTGATGTAAAACAAGTACGGTAATTAAAGGAGAAGCAGACCAGGAAAGAATAAAGCGATGGAGACAAAACATAAGGGAAAGTAGCGAGCATGACACGGTGACAATAAAACCAAAAGAAGAACTACATAGAGGGAAAACTCTTCCCTGGAACCTTTGGAAAA